CCTCTTCAGGGAAGCCTATCCCACCTCAAGCTAACCACTCAACCATCACATTCTCAAACAATTCATCCCCACACAGCTACCTCCTCAAGTATCACTTGTCCCTCCCTTTTAGATTGTAAGCCCTCATGGCCTGGGCCCTCCTTACCATCTTGTCTTGAATTGTGATTGTAATGTCTTCCTTATATTGTAAAGCGCTGCACAAACTGTTGGCGCTATCTATATCCTGTATAATAATAATTTGAGATTGGCAGCTTGCTTCCCTCAGTACAGGTTTCCCTTATGTGTGTTCGTAAGCAGTGGCATAGCGCCACATTTCTAGAAGTGGTCACCCAGGGTGGTTGAACAAGTGCAAGGATCTAAAGTTGCCAGCATTGTACCTTCTCACTGGTTTCTAGAGAGCCTACTGGCTGCTACTTGAGCTCTGCTGAACAATCACATGTATAGGAAACCTATGGTGAAGAGGCATTGATGAATGTGATTTGTATGTCAACCTATGAAATCATTTTTTGTTTGCCTGCTTACATTATGGAAGAACCGTCGGCTTTCCAGGCGTATTTAAAAGTAGAAAAGTCTATTCTACGTGGAACTTTTCTTCCCCCTTTTTTTGTGTTTTTTTTCTAACATGCATGATATTATGTCGCAAGCTTTACCATGGGTGTCCAGTTTGCCCTCCTTCAAATCTGGAAAACAGAATATTGTTTTTCCACACTTTGGTGTCACCATAGACAAATAACCACCACAAGCTGAACCTCTGTTGCATTTTTCAATCTATTGTAGTGTAAACTTTTCAGATATTTTGGCAAGAGACCCTTTGATTTGGGTTGAGGTATGCAAGTTGAGTGTTTTTAGAATTCAGATTTCATTGGCTGCAAACATGTTCAGATCAGAGTGATGGGACCAGAGCCCACGACGTTTTAAGAAAAATTGTCTGCCCTGGCCCTTTATGTATGTTTCAATACTAACACATCTGGCACCTGATTACAGGCTACAACAAAATGGTGGGTTTATTTTTTTTGTAATTAAATTTTCAATCCTCTTTCCAGAGTAAAATTGTTCGGGTTTTGAACTTGTGGCAAAAAAATGGAGTATTTAAAATTGAGATGATACAACCATTGCTGGATATGGCGGCGGGTGCTGCAGCTCCTGAACTACTGGCAGATAATTCCGCTAATGAAGAAGGTAGGACTCTTTTAATAATATATAACTTGATGTTTAAAGTTTACTTAACTTAAGATCTGAATATTTGCAATTTTGTCAAGCAGTGTTTTGTCTGTGCCAGTTACTGAAATGTTTGCTATGTGTATTTGATCTGTCCCTTGCATGAATGTAGAGGTTTGTATATTCTTTTTAAGCTGGCAAGAGTTTTAACCATACATTATCCTTAATTGTGTCAAAACTTTTTATTTATTTGAAATGTCCACAGGTTTAAAGTTTGCATTATTTGGGAAGCATATTATTTGCAGCGTTAACAGCAAAAGTTGAGTTTTGCAGATTGGGGAACTCGGTTATGCTGATACATAGAACTTTTTATGCTATTATGTTTATATAATGTCACTTTTGCAAGGCTGCAGCTGGACTTCTGTTCACAAAGTTGTTTTACCAGGTGGTCGTTCATCCAGGTGATCGGTTGAGCCCACTCTGTTAAATTGGTTTTGTGGACCTTTTAGCTTTTCCTGTGTTGCCCACCCCTAAGTCAGACTGCTTTTGGAGATTCCTGTGTACATGAATCCTGTACAATTAAGGGAAACAAATATTTGAATTACTGTCAAATTCTTTCTTGGGGTATATTAAGTGATGCGTCCCTCCCTTCTGTTTTTATGATACACTTGTACTTTTGCTTTGCTACAAAACTGTTGGAGTTGGAAGGGTTATACTGGCATGTTTGCAAGTGTCCAATCTCCTGAAGGCAGCAACACAACCAGGTGTTCTGAAAACTTCATCATGTGTCACTTAACCCATTAGAGACCAGTGATGTACATGGTACATCACTGGCACCGGGTCCATTTAAACAGACTCCCGGCGGCTAAAGACTTTTTTTCCAATTGTAAAGCTGACTGTTGGCTTTACAATAGAAGTGAATCCGCTGTCGTCAGATCGCTTCTCCGGGCCAGTAAACGGCCCGCCCCGACACCCCCACTGTGTTTCCTGGGGTCTGCTGCCCCTATGGGCCCGGGAACCTGCATCTGGTGTTGATGGGAAGCTGGGGAGGAGATCGGTGAACCTCAGTTCACTAACCTCCTCCCTGTACTATGGGATCGGGAGTGATGCAGATTGCATCACTTCCCGTCCCATAGCCAGTGCTGGGCTCCTGAAGCCCAGCAATAAGCTATTGAAGTCTGATCAGCACTTCAATAGCTTATGTAGTGTAAAGGTGATACTAGGGGTCTTTTGGACCCTCAGTGTCGCCTTAGAGTACTTGTAAGCCACCCTATGTGATGGCAATTAAAGTTAAAAAAAATAGTTTTAAAAAATATTAAATATACAAAAACATTTTTTAAAGATATTGAGCGACGAGATGTGAACAGCTCCATTGAAATGGATTGGAGAAGCTACATAGAGCGATATCGCGTGGAAATATGAGCGATATCACTGCAAAAATCGCTCAATAAATCGCTCAGTGTGAATGGGGCCTCAGACTAGCAGACCTACTGGTGTGTCTTCTGGACATAAAGATCCTTGCCCTAGCTCCTTCATCAGTTTCGTCTTAGGAGCTGGCCTAGGTTCTCCCTCCCAGAGAAAACATTGGTCTCTTTTGGAACACGAGTCAACCTGCTTTGCATCTCTGTTCCTTCCCAGAGAGAAACCCTCGTAAGCTAGGATGCATAACTACTGATCAAGGCTTTAACTTTTCAGTCTTGCTCCGTACCTCATGTTTTCTCCAGAATACTGACTCCGCTGTTTACCTTAGTGCCTTCTAATGGCACCCACATTGTGGGACACAGACTTTAGTAGTGGAATTTACAGTGTACTTGCGCTCATGTCCTTTATCCACTTGGTCAAGAAGAGGAACCTGTTTCTTGGTTGTTGCAGAAGATTTGTGTCTCAAGGGGCCATCGGATTTGAGGCACTCCCTCAGACCTCATCAGACCTTTCCTGTTGTTGTATATCAAATTGCTAAGCAGACTTGGCTTAGTTCCACCCTTCTGGTTTGATCGGGTGCCTCATCCAGTACCAGCTTCGGGCATCGGTCCCTCAGACGGCTCTTGAGCTGCAGATAGCCCCCAGTTTTTCTTTTTAGGCTTGTTCGTGGTTGTTTGGCTTTTTCCTTTCCCTCTGCTGGACTGTTTTCGGATGTACGAAAGGTAAAGATTCCTGGGTTTATCAATGGATGAGAAAGTAGCATTTTTGTACTCGACTTGCAAATCCTTTTCTTGGAGTACATTGAGGGACACGGGTCCCATCCCAAAGATTAGGATTCCTATGTCCCTTGTTGGACTCCAAGAATAGGATTTTACAGTAAGTACAAAAATTCTATTGTAGACATGCATAAGTGGTCCATATTTAATTTAATTTTTGTTTTGCATTGGTATACACTTTAAGCAACTTGTGTCACATTTGAGCTTGTCAGTAAGGAGGGGAACAGGAAATCCGTTTTTTTTATATTTCCACTCCAGATAAGCTGGTGCCTGTGATGTTCCTCTTTACATAGGCCAAATACAAATGGTCACCCTCAGGTCACAATTTGTATTAAGGATCTCGTTAGTAGACTTGGATGTCTGGCAGTGGTCAGTTTGTGCCTACTAGTGTATATGAACAGCGTTGGCCTGTCACTTTGCTGATGGGCTGGATTTTTTAAATTTTTTGTAAATCGTATTTTGAACTGAAGGAAGGATATCAAAACAAACTGAGATTTCACCTAATTTTATTTGCACAATGCCTTTTTTTTTCCTGTGTGTTTTTTATACTGTGGTCCACACTCTGTAGTCCAATTTCACTGGTAATTATATGCATAGTGTCAATGTGGAAAGATTAGGGAGCTGACAAGGGCTCCAATTCTTCCCTGCTTTATCAAAAAGTGGGGAGAGCCTTAAGTTTAGTTTTAAAGGGTTTCTAAACCCCCCTGGTATATTTGCAAGCAGTAGATGTACGCAAAAAGTTTTAAAAAAACGCTTTAAAAGCGATTTAAACATACCTGTGTCTTCACCGCGCGATCCCGTCCGAAAATCTGAAAATGCTCGGGCGACTGCAAAGCATCTTGGGGCGGAGCATGCGCAGTTCGGATTTTTGGCCGGGAGGCGAGGAGAGACACAAGATAAGTCTATGGAGGCGTGCACCCGCATGCAGACACTGTGGGACAGGAAGTGCCAGCAAGGACAGAGGAGTCGGCGCTGGTTCGGAGACCCGCAGCAGCGCTGGAGAGAAGGCCTTAAAACGACAGGAAAGAAGATCGGATTAAGAGAATCATTTAAGGTAAGTGCTTTAACCCCTTCGTGACTGACGACGTACAGTGTACGTCGCCAGCATCGGGGCTGTTTAAACAGACTCCCGCCGACTTTTGCCGCCGGGACTCTGTTTAAACTTGTAGAGCCGACTGTCGGCTTTACAACAGAAGCGATCCTGGCGGCTTACCTGTCGCCAGATCGCTTCTGAAAAAAAGGGCCTCAGTCATGAAGGGGTTAATTAAAATTGGGGGAGGGAAAAAGGTTTTTGCCTTTTTAATGTCACTTTAAATATGCAGTGTTCACGTTTGTGGCTTATGTATTAGTTGCAACAGACACAATTTTGCATGTAATGTGCACAGGCTTACTGACATTTTTTTGCAGGCTCCTCGCCACCCTCTGTGTTGCTTCCATCTGACCCCCCTGAAGAGCCCCTGGTTGCTGCTCCTGCACCTTTGGTACCTGTGGTACCTGCTCCTGCTGTCAGCGTTCCTCAGTTACCCAGCTCAGAGGCTTTTGCAGCAGTCGCTCAGTTGTTTCAGAGTAGTCAAGGACAGCAGGTATGCTCTGTTTACTATTCCCAACTGAAGTAAGGTAACATATTTTGTATCCGTGAAATTCTATGTTCTAGGACGCTATTGATTATAAGTCTCTGAAAGCAAACCAACATTAAATGTTTGCTTCTTGCCTCAAATAATTGCAGACACATGGGCCTACTCTCCTAACATGATGGCCTATGAAAACTACAAAGAAAATGTTGCTCTTTAAAACATTGAGGCATTATCTTGTATCTCAAATAATAATTTTAAACCATTAGAGTTCCAGTAATTATGCTAGTGACTTGTCATGTTGTACAATAGATGACGAGAATGCAGAGCTTTGATGCTTTCTACTACTATTCACGTCACATATGAGGTTACGAATTAGAGGTAGATTATTCACAACCTAGCGCAACATAATTGCTCACATTGATGCTTTCTACTGTTTCTCTGTGCAGTACAGTACACTGCCTACAGAGCTATGCTCTTTACAAAATTTCTGGCATAAAGCAAGTCATTTTTAGCTTGGATTAATCTCTAAACCATTGTGTGTGTGTGTGTATAAATATATATGTATATGCGTTTGTGTGTACTAGAGCAGATATGCAACTGTTCCAGATTCTCTCTGCTCCTGTTTTGATAAGTTCCCCCCTGTGTGTATTCAAGCAATGCTGCACAAGGATAATGTGAGCCTTAATTTATTTCATTACAAGTATTTCTATAGCGCTGACTATTTACACAGCGCTTTATATTGTTCACATCAGTCCCTGCCCTCAAAGAGCTTACAATCTAAGGTCCTTATTGCCAAATAACCTTCTAGCATGTCTTTGGAGTGTGGGAGGAAACCAGGACACGCACTATTCTAGTGTCTGTATACACTCCACTTCTTACAGCATAGCTCTCCTGAAAATGAAGGAGCCCTGGATGGTCAGACTGACTGCGACACCCACCTGACAATCGGTCACCTATCTGTTCATGGATTCTTTTAATTTTAAACCATGGCCAATCTGCACCTTTACACAGCAAGAGCATTAGTCTGTCAAAAAAGGAATTATCTTTGTTTTATCAGTTTTACATCTTTTTTTTTTTCTGTCAAGTTCCAAACTCTTAAGTTTCTGTCTAAGCAAATGTATGAATAAAAAAAAATATTGTTTTTTACAGCTTCAGCAGATTCTTCAGACTTTCCAGCAGCCTCCAAAGCCACAGTCTCCAGTTATTGATGAGAATATATATTCCCAAGTACAATCGATTACTTCTCAGATGAATACTCAACCACAACAGTCTCACCAGGCAGACAGGAAAACTGCTTTTGATAAGGTGATTACTCCTCAGCAATTTTTAGTATGATGGTTCTGTCCTTTTTTTGTATTTTCTTTATTGCAAGTACATGTTTTTGCATTTTTACAGCTGCTGGACAGATTTGATTATGATGATGAACCTGAAGCAGCTGATGAGTCAAAGAAAGATGCAACAAGTTCCACTCCACCACCTTCCCAACCACCATTGTGAGTAACCGGTGTGTCAGACACAAGAGTAGTAAACAAAAGTAGATAAGCTAAATGAAGGGGTAAATCTTTGTCAGCCTCTTCACAGATAATGCACGCTAAAGTATCATATTCTAAAGTTTCATATTCTGAACAAGCAGTAAAAACACTTTCATATCCTTGTATTCTATATAAGTATCATGGAGAAATTTATTGTAAAAGTTTTACAACAGAGACCCTCAAATTGGCCCATTTTCTATGAAGATCAGATCTTGGAAGCCTGCTATCCTGTAATCTGCTATCATCTTTTTAAATGGACTAAACCCCAACTTTTTCTTATGAACTTGATAATGAATAACTTCATATACAAAGCAGCTGGTGGAGGGATTGCTTGTTTTATATCTCTTGTACTATTTGTTAGGAAACTGTAAGCAGTTTGATGTCCATAGTATGTGCACAGTTGTGCTTTTATAAGTAGGCTTACACCATTATACAAATGTAAGACTTTTTAAACTCCTGCATCAGGGCTTTCCTTACTGGCTCTGTTTAATGTAGGGATGCACCGATAAAGGTTTTTCGGTATCGAGTGCAATAAAAAAAAGTATTTCGGTACTCGCCTATACCGGAAGTCCCATTTAAGAAAGCCAGGTGTCATGTAAGGACTCGCCACCTGGCTTTCTGATTAGCAGGGAAGCCGTCTCCATGCTCCATCACCTGGTGACAAGGGAGTATGGAGCCGGCTTCCTGGGAGCATTTGGGAGAGGACAAGTATACTCGGCATTAGCACTGATACTAGTATCGGTATTGGTGCATCCCTAGTTTAATGTTCATGGAAATAATGGCTGCCATCAAGAGATTCCTCTCCTCCCCAAAGAGCTGTCTACCGCTCTCTACAAACACTCTGTATTTCTCTTTGTTTAATTCCTGTGCAAGTAAGACTATAAATGTTTATCCTTATTATAAAAATGTACATTGAACAAAATAAGTTGTAGGGTTCCCACTTCATATATTTTGGATACGTTTTGACATTGTGTAGCATTTATTTTTAATAAATTTGCTCTAATTGTGGCTGTTTACACAATGAGGGGGTGATATATAGTTGGTCAGCTTAAAATATATATCTAAAATTTTTTTTTTTACTGTAGAATAAAATTGCCTGGTTCTTTTCACTCGGGGACTCTGGTGTGATCACTGCTGGTGTTCCACAACCTATCATCTGTCTTGGACCTAAGAGTGCAACATGAGGGGTGGAAGCACTACAGAGTTAGCAGGCACTAACTCTGCAGTCACCATAATTAAAGAAAATAAAATGTTTTCAGTATGTAACTGAAGTGGAGCCTTTAAATTGCTTCTCAGATCATGGCAGCCTTTTGTTTCTCATAAATGTTCGTAGGGTTAACTTGACATTTCTGGGGCTACTGATCTGTGACAGTCCTTTTTTTTTTAACTGCACTTTTTATTGTAGTAAAATAACCCAAATCAAGCTTTGAGAACATTAGGGCCTTTACAAGTGGTCTCTGAACTGATATTCCCATTTGCCGGGCTTTTAAAAATTTTAGGGTGTCTAACTAACTAGTCAATCAATGTCACCAGTCAGCTTGACCGGAATATAGCCTTGCAATTTGTTAATTTTTTAGGGATAGATAGCTTTCTTTTGGAGGTAAATAATCACCACTGGGGGGGGGTTTGTTTATTTTTTTACTAATATAATGAAATAAGTACCGTAAATTCCAAACAAAATGTCTATGTTAAAAAACATTTATTCTTACCCATATTTTTGGTAAAATATAAAAGACGAGGTCATGTCGGGTAAATAGACACCAAACATGTCAAGCCTTAAAATTTGAGCGCGGCCGCAAAAAACTACCACACCGAAAAATGGGCATAGACGATGCTTTAAACAGTTTAGTGTTATCGGTGATTAATGGCCCTAAAATTATTGCTCTCACTCCGACGTTTGCTGTGATATGTAAGATGTGTGGCACAATAGGCGGAATCGTCATTTTCACATGTCGGCGCACCCGACGCATGTTTGCGTGTGTGTGCGGGCAGGAGACTTACATTTTTTTTACACTTAACTTTATTGCCATCACATTGGGGGCTAAGGAGCCCCCTATGCGATAGCCAATTTACATGACAGGTCCTCTTTATGGAGTTATCAAGGGTCTCCAAGACACCTAATGTCACCTAGACCCACCCCAGAGAAGCAGGGATCCGCTTCACCAGCTTCTGAAGCTGGAGAGTGACAGCAGAATGCGGAAGTGATGTAGTATACATGACTTTCTGCAATCTGGGACTAGAGAGGAGATCCGAGGGACATTGTGTACCGATCTCCTGTCGCAGAGCAGCCGTGCCGTTCCCGGCTGTACCAGGCACAGCGGATCTCGAGACCGGCAACGGCAGTGACAGCTGCTGCTAATACAAACATTTAATTACAACGGCCGGGCAGGAAGCTACACGTCTGTCTCCGCCATCCTCTCGTCACAGATGAGAGGACGGGCAGATTTTTTAAACCCTGCCCATTTTGATATTTTAGTCCACATTAGCATTTCTTAAATCTTTTTACATCATGATGCATCGGGCGCAAAAACTCGGCTCGCTTAAATGTGTTAGTGCTTTTGATTGTTTACCACTTATAGGGCTGCAGCTAACTATTATTTTCATAATCGATTAGTTGCCCGATTATTAAGTTCGATTAATCGGTTAATCGGATAAAAAAAAAAAAAAGGCTCCAGTGATTGACGACTAGTTTGTGTTAAGATTGTAGTCCATCATGGGAGCAAGCTTGGCGCGGTGGAAGTAAAAAAAAAGTGTGGTGTGCAATATAGTACATTATACAGCGGCGCAGTGCAGAATACCAGCAGCTATAGAGGAATGTAGCAATAGTTATACATTATACTATAATGTACTATTGCTGGGATTTGTAGTCCTCTGTAGCTGGCGTTATTCTGCATTGCGCTGTATATAATGTATTATTGCTGGGATTTGTAGTCCTCTATAGCTGGTGGTATTCTCCATTGCGCTGTATAATGATTTATACTGCGCAATGCAGATTACCACTGACCAGTTATAGAGGAACAAATCCCAGCAAAAATACATTATACAGCGCAATGGAGAATACCACCAGCTATAGAGGAACAACAAGTCCCAGCAATAATACATTATACCGGGTGTTTAATATATTATTGCTGGGATTTGTTGTTCCTCTATAGCTGGTGGTATTCTACAGTGTGCCGCTTCTTTTTAAAAAAACAGGAAACATTAAAACAGGTCCCCCTTACCTGTTTCTGAACCCTTGTAAGTCGCGGCGGCGTGCTCTGCGGGCGTGTGTCCGCCTTGTGGCTTGGTCGTGGCGTCCGCGGCGTGCGTAGCGTAACTCGTACCTGTTCCACCATAGCACCCCTGTTCCACAACGGCACCCCCACACAACTATTCCACCATTGCACGCCAATACACCTATTCCTCGCTGCACCTTCATACACCTGTTCCAC